GACACTCTGTTCAGTGTTAGGCTTTTCTTATAGCATACTCTAAAACGTACTATGAAAACCTTCACTAGCCTGTATGGATTAATTGTAAAGCTGTTATTAAAAACATTCTCCACAGCCCATATTTTTTAAAAACTAGGGATTAAGTTTTTAAGTGTTGCCGAGTATGAGCTGATCATCAAAAGTAATTATATATTATTTATAACCTCTTAACCCTTAAATGGTTTATCAAACGAGCAAGGACTGGTCATTATGAATAGCTATGTATAATCTAAAACCTCTTAGACATTATGTTAGCTTTGCAAGTTCCCTCTATATTTGGTTTCAAAGAGATTATGGGCTGATTTTGTCTATAACCTTTTAACCATTATGCAAAATCTATAATCTTCAGATTTATTTTGTTTATTTTGTTTATTAAACGAGCAAGGACTGATCATTATGAATAGTCTAAAATCTCTTAGTCATTATGTAAACTTTGCAGGTTTCATCTATATTTGGTTTCAAAGAGATAACAGCAACGGACTGATCATTATATTTTTATCTATAACCTTTTAACCCTTATGCAAAATCCATAATCTTTGGATTTATTTAGTTTCTTAAACGAGCAAGGACTGATCATTATTAATAGCTATGTATACTCTAAAACCTTTTAGACAGTATGTAAACTTCGCAAGTTCCATTTATATTTGGTTTCAAAGAGATAACAGACTTCTTATTATATCTTGTCTATAACCTTTTAACACTTATGCAAAATCCATAATCTTAGGATTTATTTGGTTTCTCAAACGAGCAAGGACTGATCATTATGAATAACTATGTTTAATCTAAAACCTCTTAGACATTAGGTAAACCTTGCAAGTTCCTTCTATATTTTGTTATAAAAGAGATAACGGACTATAATTTTTTGTCTATAACCTTTGAACCCTTATGCAAAATCCATAATCTTTGGACTTATTTGGTTTCATAAAAGATTACACTGAACATTATAAAATAAGCATCTATAACTGCTTTATTAGAGTGCATCATAAAAAAACAGGTCCGTCTATATTTGACCCCGAAAAGATAATGAACTGATCATTATATATTGTCTATAGCCTTTAAATAATTATTTACATTTCACAATCTTCGGATTTATTTGATTCCATAAAAAAAATACATTGATCATCATAAAATAAGCATATATAACTGCTTTATTACCGTGCATCATAAAAAGAACAAATCGAATATTATAAAATACAACTGGTAAATATTATTATGGCCGAGCCACACATAAAAGTTATCAATTATCAATATATCATAAGGATTAATGAACATAAGAGCTGGGTTTAATACTTCTTCCCTTGACTATTTCTTCCGTATCCAAGGGTCCTCCCCCTTCCATGTCTTCCTAGGTACCCTCCTCTCTGCTGCTCTCCGACCATCCCTTGTTGTTGGTCTGCGGCCATGAAATGGCCAAAGGCTTCTGGCTCATGGAATGTGAGGATCTTTAGCCTCTCCTGCTTTGTGATCACATCATGCAGCCGCGCTGCATGTCCCTTTATACCACAGTAATTAAAGGTTTTATCAAAACCACGTGTATCTTGTTTATGGCTAAACAAACCACATTTCAGGCATCTTTGCTTGTCATTGCATTCAGCTAGTTTATGGGTATCTACCTCGAAATAAGAGCACATGAATCTCGGCTCCTGCACTTCCTCTCGCTCTTCTCTTGGGGTTACCTGATTAGCAATCTTTTGGAGTAGCTTCAGGGTTTCATCCACAGCATTACATTCACTTGCACGTTTGTCAAGTCTGGTATGTATCTTGGTGACATTCTCAAGAACTTCTGTACATATTTTCAGTACCTGTTTGACTTTGCTGTCTGATGTTTTAGCCGTATCCAGGATTGAATTGAGACTCCCATCAGTGTTATTGCTTGCTCCCAATGTTGTTCCAGGTTTTTCCTCAGGAGCATTGGTTGCTGGCTGTCTAACCATTAGATTCTTGATCAGATCATCTTTCAATTTTTACCCAAAGGCCTTCTCCTTGAATAATCCCTTCTCATGCATTCTTTGCATTACGTTCTGAACTTTCCTGGTCTTAGACTCTGGATCGAATTTTATCTCCTTCCTGACCAGCTCGGATAATAGATTTTCACGCTCTCCAGATTCCTCTGGTATCCCGACAAACCAAATTTCGTTTCTAGAACGTTACAAAAACGTTATGTAGGGTAGCGTTACGTTATGGCTTCGTTTTCCTGATATGTAAATGCTACGTAAAACGAACCACTTTTTACGTTACTGAAACGTTTTCCAGTATCGTTTCCCAGAAACGTTTTAAGATCGTAAAANAAATCCATTACGTAACTTTACGATTCAGAAACGAAGTTTAAAAACTTTTTAAAAAGATTAAAATTTACACATTTTGACGCATGAATTAATTAACACATAGGAATTACATAAGAAATTTATAGTTGACAAATACAATTGTTCATTAGCATACAATTTGGATTGGTATCCAGAAACGTTTCAAATACGGTTCTAAAACGTTATGTAATGTTACGTTTCATGTAACGATACAGAAACGATACAGAAACGAAGCAGAAAACGAAATTTCGTAAGATACGTAAGATGGTTTCTCGGGATTATCTCCACTGTCATGGCGAGTTTTGAGGCCTTTTCATTAGGGTATATCCTGTGCTTGTTGCAAAAAGAGAAAAAGGGAAAAAGAAAGCTTGATAATCTTACTAATCAGATAGAACTAACATGGAGTATATAACAAAATTTATTGCAATTAATTGTTTAAGAAAAGAAAGATTTTTAAGGGAAATGAATTATCCTAAAAATTTAGGAAAATTAACTTTACGAGTTTAAAAATTGTTACTGAACTTTAATATTGTAAGTAAGGATTTATTCTTAACCATATGCCCATGCCTTGATCATTTCTTTTAACAAAGATAACTGCAGCATCCGTTGCCACTATTTTGTAGCATGATTTGATTGTCTCCCCCTCTCTGACAATTATGACATAATCCGTCATTTTGATCCAACCCGTACAAGAGATATTAAAAGACTGATGGCTTACATTTATGTGCGGTCCTGATCTCAGCTGCTTTGTTGATGTGTCATCCCTCGTTGTACTTCCTGTACCATTTTTGAAGACGACCCTTGTTGTACTTCCTGTGTTACCTTTTAAAAGACGATCCTTGATGCAGGGCAGGTCATTTTGCATTCTCCATGACATAGTGTTTATTTCTCAGTTTTACATTATTATTTTTCCAGATTGTACTTTTAAAACATTAAAATTGTACTATGGCTAAGCCCAATAATATCAGATACTCTCTATTCTATTCATCAATTCTGTACTATGGCTTTTCTTCTCTTATAGACAGTACATTCAAACACTCACATGTGTCTTATACATAAGACCAGTAATTTAATCAATTCCATTCTTTTGTATTATGTCTTTTCTTCTCTTATAGACAGTACATTTAAACATTTACCTCTGTTTCATACATAAGACCAATGAATTCAATTAATTCCATTCTTTTGTATTATGGCTTTTCTTCTCTTATATACAGAATATTTAAACTTTTACATCTGTTTCATACATAAGACCAATAAATTCAATTAATTACATTCTTTTGTATTATGGCTTTTCCTCTCTTATAGACAGTACATTTAAACATTTACCTCTGTTTCATACATAAGACCAATAAATTCAATTAATTCCATTCTTTTGTATTATGGCTTTTCTTCTCTTATATACAGTATATTTAAACATTTACCTCTGTTTCATACATAAGACCAATAAATTCAATTAATTACATTCTTTTGTATTATGGCTTTTCTTCTCTTATAGACAGCACATTTAAACATTTACTGCTGCCTCATACATAAGACCAATAAATTCAATTAATTCCATTCTTTTGTATTATGGCTTTCCCTCTTTTGTTGTTAGAATTTCTACTTTGGTCCTGAACATATTTGTGGGCCTTGCCCGAATCATAATGAATAACTCAATATGTATTCTCTTTTCATTTTATTTAAGATCATTCGAAATGATTTCCAACACACAATTATAATGAGCTGATTCAAACTGGGATTCTCTGTGTTTTGGTGATTATTTATCTGATCTCGTGACTCAGTTATCCTTCAACTCCACTTTGAACCCTTACAATTATAACATATTATTGTGCAAGTTAGTATTATAATTAAATAATTCACTGGGAAAGACATACCAAATTTGTTTTAAAGAACAATAGGCCAAGATGAATTAAAAATTTTTTAAAGAAAAATAAAATAAAAATGACCTTAAGGGTTTCAGTGGCATAGAAAGAATAGGTCTTATAGGATACATTTGCTGTTGAAGTATAAATATTGCAACCGTCGACTCAATTAAATAAGATAAATAATTTAGATGAATAAAAAGTTATTTGTCCATTGTTGGGAATCTTGTCCTCTGTTGAGGAACCACAATCTCGTACAGGACTGTCCCCGCTTGTTGCATCCTTAGGTCCGACACCTGAGAATGCTGTACACAGTCATCTCTGACGTTTCTCGTCTGTGTGGGTAACCCAATTATAAAGACACAAACCATCTGAGGTCAGAAAATGAGATTATAATCCCTGACCTAATATTGAATAAAACCTAAATATCTTTGTTAAGGGTATTCTTGAAATGGTTGGATATCTATCTATAGTTTCTGATTTTATAATTCTTCTTTTCAATTACCTTTAAGCTGGTGCTTGATGTTTATGTATGTTTTCTCAAAGTTGTTTTAATCGACATTCTTATTCAAATGTTGATTTCATTTTATTTATTTTTTTAACACCGAACTTTTTTTAAATTAAAATTTGTCAAAAGTCAAGTAATTAGTTGAAACTTGAGGCCCTTGAGATTAATGAAGTATGGGCTTTGAAAATATATCTTGATCAATACTTTAATTCCATTTCCCAGCTTCTCAAAAAGTCATGGAATAACTATCGTAGTAATATCTTTTAAAATACACTAAATATATCTTAGAGTTTCCCGATGAATGTAAACTCCATGAACGCCTACTATGGAGCTGGTCCTGTCGTGAAGGCTCTAGAGCTTGGAGCGGATATTGTTATTACAGGTAATGCTGGTACAAATTACTTGTTTTACAGTATATAAAGTAAATATTATGGGTTATACATTATCCTAGAGTACATGTTACTCAGTAAATAGTAAATAGTACCGGTTATACACTACAGTACATAGAGTCTTATATGACATGTAATGTTGTGCATAGAGTACATGTCACAGGTTATAGTACATAGAGTATACATGTAATAAATAAATGCCTTACTCCAATATTTTTTCAAGTGTGTATTTATCCACACACAACTATATCAAACTCTATACCCTCTACTGAGAACTAATTCTTCTGACTGTAGTAAAACAGAGTTCATATCCAACTAACTATATTTTGTGTTTAATGATACAGGTAAAACTGAAACTGACCAATACGTCTGTTCAGAGATTATAGAGCATGGTTATATATACAAGACATGTGAATTAGGGTTATTACTTTATTTATTACAAACATTACAAGTTAAACAGTACATCTAGTACATTTTACAGATTCTCGCCCTAAGAGTACATAAGGTTGTACTTAAAGTTCATATAATAGATTATTAGTTCATCATTACGACATTTCACATGTTATATTTAAAATAAAATCAAATATTTATTAAATGAATATTTCATACAGTTCTGACACTATAAATCCTCATGAGTACATAGATATTTTATCTTACAGGCACCCTCAACTAAGCGTTCGGTGTGTACTGCAGTGATTTGCAGTACTCTGACTTAAGAAATTTGGGGGTTTAGTGGAGAGTGTAGGATATACAATACAGTACAAAAAACTGACCCAGTAAAAAAAAATTTGAAAGTTTTTCCTGTTTAACCTAAATTTCAAATGCGCAAATTAACATTTTTAGGACGGTGCACTGATAGTGCGCTGGCGTTAGCTCCCCTTATGCATGAGTTTGGGTGGAAATCTACAGATCTCGACAAGGCAAATATAATCATATATTACTTTAGATGATTTTTGTCTGATTTTTCATGAAATTGATTTCTTAAAACTTTGTTTTTATTATCATTTGAATCAGTTGGCTGCTGGTAGTCTGGCTGGTCACCTTATAGGTAGCTTTGGACACATAGAAACAGATAAAACAATCAAATAATGACTAAATTTAACAAAAACCCAACAAACACAAACACAAACACAAACACAAACACAAACACAAACACAAACACAAACACAAACACAAACACAAACACAAACACAAACACAAACACAAACACAANAAACATAAACATAAACATAAACATAAACATAAACATAAACATAAACATAAACATAAACATAAACATAAACATAAACATAAACATAAACATAAACATAAACATAAACATAAACATAAACATAAACATAAACATAAACATAAACATAAACATAAACATAAACATAAACATAAACATAAACATAAACATAAACATAAACATAAACATAAACATAAACATAAACATAAACACAAACACAAACACAAACACAAACACAAACACAAACACAAACACAAACACAAACACAAACACAAACACAAACACAAACACAAACATAAGCATAAACATAAACATAAACATAAACATAAACATAAACATAAACATAAACATAAACATAAACATAAACATAAACAGCAACACCAACACCAACACCAACACCAACACCAACACCAACACAAACACAAACATACCAGTACCAATAATGTATACCAATAATATGCCTAAAATAAACATAAACACGAACACCAACACAAACATTTATAAATATGAACAAATGTTAAGAGTGTGGAACCCAGGTGACAGGTGGGAACCATACAGATTGGGAGAAGGTTCCAGGGTTTGAGAACCTAGGGTTCCCTGTAGCTGAAGTAAAGGAGGACGGAGAGATCCTGATAACTAAGGTGATTTTTAGATTTTAGTGATAGTAAACAGTCCAGTGGCTTTTAGATTTAAAATTTTTTGTGTTTTGTTTAACGTAGAGGTTCAAGAACTCAGAAATACTCCCCTTGGGTTCTAATAGTATTGAAGAATAATATGTAGAGATTAAAAACATTATGTCCTATTGTATTATTGTAGAGTTTGTAGGTTGAGGAAACAGATTAATTACAGAGTAAAGCCCACGGAAAACAAGTAAAGGATCATTAGACTTCTTAATGTTAGAAAGAAAGAAAGACAGGAAGATGAAAAGAAGATCTAACTAAAAGATCGAGCAAAGATAGAACCGAGTTCGAACAAAGTTCGAACAGTATCGATTTTTGATCAAGTAGATGTAAAATATGAAATTCAAAACATTTATGTTGGGTTTAGCAAAATCAAAAATATTTTCTTTCATGTCTCTTGAATCCTTTCTGCCAGGCTACTAGTCCTAATATTTGTGCACTAGGTTGGATTTTAATCATTTCTATATTAAAGTTTCTCTGAGCTGTCATACTTGATTTGTGGTTTTCATTTTATTTTGCTCAAATCTTTCCTTCAAACAATTCTATAGAACCAGAAATCTGGCAGAGCGAGAGAATTTAGAAACCTTGAAAATCAGAAAGTTTTTTATCAGATTATCTGATGATATTTGATATTTCACTTAGATGAAAACTTTTTAACGAATTAAGACAAATTTTCTTCAGCTCTTGAATTTGAATATGCTAGTTTTGGTTCCAAACTAAAAGCCCGTTGGCAGAATAATAATAATAAGTGTGGGGGGAATATATTCTCTATGTTTAGTCCCCTGGTACTGGTGGACTATTAACCCTAGGAAGTGTGGGGGAATATATGCTCTATGTTTAGTCCCCTGGTACTGGTGGACAATTAACCCTAGGAAGTGTGGGCGAATTATACTCTATGTTTAGTCCCCTGGTACTGGTGGACTATTAACCCTAGGAAGTGTGGGGGAATATATTCTCTATGTTTAGTCCCCTGGTACTGGTGGACTATTAACCCTAGGAAGTGTGGGGGAATATATACTCTATGTTTAGTCCCCTGGTACTGGTGGACTATTAACCCTAGGAAGTGTGGGTGAACAAATGCTGTATGAGATTGGAGATACACAATCCTACATTCTACCTGACGTCGTAGCAGATTTTTCAAATGTCCAGGTTTCTATTTAGTTTTTACTTCAATAAATTTTATTGCTGAATTAGTTAACTTTTCTCATTTTGTTTAATACTTTCTACCCAAAAATTTAAAAAATATTTTTTAGAAAATATACATTCCTGAATTGGAACTTGTTCATTTGACAATTTAAAGTCATAAATTTATTCTGTAAATCGTCTTCCTATTCCAGAGTTTTCTATTCCTGACCGTGTATCTGTAGATGGAGGAGGTTGATGAGGGTGTGAGGGTATGGGGTGCCCAGGGTAGATCTCCTACTCCTTACTACAAAATATCTGCAACCTATCTAGATGGATTCAAGGTTCCCTTCATAAATCAAATCTTTTCCATTTTATACAGATCATGTTGTTTTGTCCTTGGTTTCTGCAAAATGGATAATTACATTTTCTTTGTTTTTGCACAATCTTCTCTATCTATCTATCCATCCTGAAAACTGTTAAACAAAATATCAAATATAAACAAAGGGTACAAGTATATTATATTAAGATAAAATAGAAATGAAAATATGATACAGTGGTAAGCGATTATATCAATACAATGAAGACGAATTTTTTACTTAAGTTTTGATTGTCAACAAGCTTTTTTCGAATCAAAAGTTTACAAGAAATCAAAGAGAAGCTTTTTAAATTGATAGCTTCTCTTGACTTTTATGTTAATATGTATCCATGGTGTTTAACAGATTCATATAAATCAAATTGAAAGCCGTCTTCATTGTATTGGTATAATCGCCTACCACTGTAGCATATTATGTAATAATCATACTTTACAGGTAACTTAGGGGAATTTTTATTTAACAATTGAAAAAGCGAAAACTTTTTCAAATAAAAGATAAACTTAAGATAAGTATCGACTTCATCCTTGTTGGGGGGTAACAAAGGTTGTTGTATGTGTGTGTTTTGTATATAATATATTGTATTCCCTATTTTATTTTAAAACTTTTGTTTAAAATGGATAACCAGAAATTTGGAAAATGTTGGTTCATTTGGTATAGCCGTTCTCACGTATATAAGTTACACACTATGAGACAGACAAGCCATCTGTATATGTATATATAGATAAATACACAATGCATATCGTAGCTGTATACTTTTAGGCCACCTGTGTTGTGAATTTTACCGGTAGAAAGAGTGCGGATAAGTGCCATTTAATGGCGGAGTCAATCTTCAAAAGGAGCAGAAGCATATTTAAAAGACTGAATATTCCTGATTTTGAAAAGGTATATTTCAATTATGATTTGTAACCTATTGAAAGTTGTTGCTAATTGATTATTGGCCAGCAATAGCATAGACCAACAAAAATAAAAGACTAATTTTTCCAAGCTGATCTTTATTTTAAATTATCTTAAATTTAAAGTACTAGCCTTAGAGGGCACTTCGCGCCCATCTTCTAAATTAATTGTGAACATGTTCTCTTTGCGTACATCGTAAAACAAAATAAAAATAATTCGCGGATTTTCACAAAAAATTTCGTGGATTTTCAAAATTTTCAAAAACTTTATGAAGATCGAATTTTGATGGAGACAAATATTTGAAATTTTGATCATTCATAAACCTTCCCTGTGGTCACGTGATGTCCCACAAAAAATTTGGGCCCGATCGGTTCAGCCGTTTTTTGGATACAAACAGACAGAAAGACAGACAAACAGACAGACAAGCCAAATTTATATATAGATGGAAGTAATACTCTGATTTGGAAGTCTGATAGTGCAAATAATTATTCAAGCAAAGCCCAATTAAAGTCGCAATAGGAGAAATCTAACTTCGTGAATGCTTTCCTCCCAGAGCCAATTTTTTTTTTTTTTGAGGGGGAGGTTCTTACTGGAGGTATAAATCTGCTAATTTGTTGAAATACCTGACCTGACGATTTTAATCTCATGTACCACACGGATCCTTGAGAATATTTTTATTACTATCAGGTCCATGTTCAAGTTCTTGGTGCTGAGGAAAGTTTTGGAGAGTCCGGGATAAGTTCAGATAAATATCCCAGAGAGGTGTGTGTCTTTTGTGAGTATAGAATATTGTTGATTTGCTTAATCTCTACTCTACTACTGTAATTTATGATTTAAACTTTTTAATTTCAATTTCTATAAACATTAATCAAATTTAGGGAGTATTATGGATGGCTGTAAAACACCAGGACAAGAAAGCGTTACAGATCTGGTCCAAGGAGATTGCAGCTTGTGGGACAGGAGGAACTCCAGGTATAAACTCAATCTTGGTTTTGGTTTGGTTTGGTTTGGTTTGGTTTACAGATCTGGTCCAAGGAGATTGCAGCTTGTGGGACAGAGGGAACTCCAGGTATGAACTCAATCTTGGTTTGGTTTGGTTTGGTTTGGTTTACAGATCTGGTCAAAGGAGATTGCAGCTTGTGGGACAGGAGGAACTCCAGGTATAAACTTAATCTTGGTTTGGTTTGGTTTGGTTTGGTTTACAGATCTGGTCCAAGGAGATTGCAGCTTGTGGGACAGGAGGAACTCCAGGTATAAACTCAATCTTGGTTTGGTTTGGTTTGGTTTACAGATCTGGTCCAAGGAGATTGTAGCTTGTGGAACAGGAGGAACTCCAGGTATAAACTTAATCTCTGTTTGGTTTGGTTTGGTCAGGTTTAGTTTAGTTTAGGTTAGTTTAGTTTAGTTTAGTTTAGTTTAGTTTAGTTTAGTTTAGTTTAGTTTAGTTTAGTTTAGTTTAGTTTAGTTTAGTTTAGTTTAGTTTAGTTTAGTTTAGTTTAGTTTAGTTTAGTTTAGTTTAGTTTAGTTTAGTTTAGCTTAGTTTAGTTTGGTCCAAGGATAACTCCATTTTTATTTGATATGGTTTGGTTTGTAATTGCCTTTTTTTAAAGCATTTTTCTTTTGAAACTATTCATACAATCTTAACAATTAAAGAGACTTTAGCATAATTTCAAGTGACCCTCCATGCAAAGATTGCAATGCCCGATTTACAACGGTACTTTTAAAAGCATTGCCTGATCAAGTATGAATTATATATTACTGTTGACTTGTAAAGAATTAGTTATTCTCTAAAAAAGGGAATTAAACACTTTGCCAGTTAAAAAATGATTATATCTTTAACATTATTGATCAAACAAAGGTCTAAATAGTAATTTTATGAATTGGTTTTTTTTAAATAAAAATTATAACAACAGTCGACAGTCCCTTTAAGATGTTTTGTAAATGATTTTAAATATGTGAAGGTTTGTTATATTTCAAGTTTTTATATTAAATTTTAATAAAAGGAATAACTGTTGTTGTTGGCGGAAGACCTAAACCAGTTCCTTGTCTCAAGCTGTACTCCTTTCTTTATCCTAAATCCAAGATGGACGCCAAAATCGAAATGAATGAACAGGTGATCATGAAAATGATTATTCATCTAAGGGGTATTTGATGAAACATGACAGTTTAAAGACAAACTTGTATTGATCGTCAAACGATTTCTCACAGGTACAACCCCCCCCC